ATACCGTATACCCAAGTGAATGTTTTTTCTATTTTTATTTGCGACTTTGCAAATAGTACGGAAGAGAAAGCGGACGTTGATGATGATGCAATGCAAAAGTTTTCATCTTTGTGATTTGCAAACAGTTGTTTTGGGTGTGAGAATTTTTCCGGCAAATTCTTCAAGGGAGTTGCCCGCGATTTTATGACTTCTCTCTGCTATATACTCCGTTAGTCATCTCATCCTTTCACTCGAAATGCAAGAGACCTTTCGTCCCCTCTCTTGAGTGTCTCACGTTTTCGCGGCATCGTCAGTGGCAAAACGAGAGGAGAGGGTGTTGCTTCCTGAAGGGATGAAGAGACCGTTTCTGGTCTAGACGTCGCTCTCTCACAAGGTTCCCTTTTTTTTTCACTCGTTGAATCTTCATTATTTTTTTCCACACAAAACTTCGAACTTTGTGTTGTTCTTCCTGAAACAGGTGATATATAAATACAAACATTTCTTTATTTTTCTACATTACATTTTTCTTTTTACACGGCATCGCTACATTTTTATTATTCACAAGCGTCCGGGCATCCATCAGACTTCCACAACAATAATTATTATGTCACATGGGATTGCAAAGAATATAAAGGAAAGGGTATAGCAAAACAAACAATAAAATACCGTTGGATTAAAATTTTAATTTGTATTTTATTTTTTTTCTTTCTCTTTTTATTTTATTTTAACAAAAAAATAATTATAACAGTAGGAAAATATTGAGGAGGTGTTGGGTAAATTTTCTATTTACATATCATGTTTTCATAAAATCATTTTTTACTTACATTTGCACTGAAACATATAAGCGGATAATGTTAAGGACAAATGTCAATCAGTGTGCTTCAATATTGAGTTGAAAAACAAAGAATATTAACGAGCCACATAATCTTTACTCTCATGACTTTAAAACTTTTCAAGAGAGATTATTATTTTTTTTTTGTCTTTAATAGTGCAATTAAGCATGAAATTATTTATTTCAAATTAACAATACTTTGGGAATTAAATATAAATATTTTTCTTATTTACTTTAAATAATAAAAAAAAATCCATGAACTTTATAATTCAATTTTTAGATCACAAAATTTAACTTTAAAATAAATAATTATTTTTCACTTTTGTTTGTAATTATTATTTTATCGAAAAAAATTTTCCAACTTGAACAAATATTAATTAATGAAGTTAAAAAATTTTTAAACAATGCCAGAAAGTTCCAGGCAATTATTTTTTAACAAGAATTTATTTATCAGTTAACAACTAATAATGCATCAAATTTTTATTTATCAAACTAAAATTTTGGAATATTACTATAATGGAATTAAAAAGTAAAAATTCACTATAAACTAAAAATCCATTACTTTCTTATAAATCAGTGCACTTTAAGTATAGACCATTTTTTATTCATCAATATTATTATTATTATTGTGGCAAAAATTTTTCAAGAATTTTCTTCATTATTTTTAATTAATGTCTTTCGCTCTCTTTTTCTCGTTTTATTACAATTTTTAATGACTTATTAGTTTTGTTAGTTCTCAAGAAGAGAGCATGTCATTAAAAATATAAACTTTTATAAAAATAAAGCTCTCTGCTAGCTGTTCTTTTATTAATAGTTGATCAATTCTTATTAAGAAATCTCATTCATGTGTACTAAAAACGAATAATTGATAAAGTGTAATCAGTTGTCTATAAGCTTTGTCTTTTTCTTTACATCAATATCTCAATTTTTTCCTTTAATACATAACTCAATTTTTATTGCATACTGAACATCAACAAAATAATAAATAATTACAGATTACATAAATTCTAACTTTTAGATGATTAAAAATGAAGAATAATCTTAAATAGGATAAAATATTTCAAGCTTTATTTTTAATTAATTCCAGTTTAATTCATTTTATTATTTCCAACCGAATCTAAAAGGCTCCTGCACTAAATAAATATTTTCCTAAGTTGCAAATAAATTAATTCGTTTGCCCTCAAAGAAAAAAAATAATCCCTCATGTCTTCTTCATATCTAGTAAAAATTAATTATGAAATGATAAAAATTTAAAAATGCGTCGATTAATTGAATGAAACTGAAACGTAAATATGTGACGAGAGAGGAAGCGTAGGATTTTTCGTTGAGCTCCGGAAGTCGTTGAGACGTAAATTGAGAAATGTAGAAGGGAGAAATGGACGTCTATATATTTTCCGGGTGCACTAGTACGTCATACATATATAGGTGAGAGTGTGAAAGCGAGTGCAAGAGGGGAAGGGAGTGAGAGAACACGATGGCGTTGGGGTGGAGCCTGCACGGGGGTTGCTGTCGACGCCCTGCTGCTGCTTCCTGGTTTCCCTATATTGATTTTCCACCGCGCGGGTCGGAGAGCACGGAAGATAGATAGATAGAGGGCGCAATGTGTAGTCCGGAGCAAGAAGAAAGAGGGACCCTTTTCCCTCCGCAATAGCCGCGCTGGCGCAAGAATGACGAGTTTGCCCTCTCCAAGTGGTAGTAAAGCGATGCAGGTCGACAGGTAGTGGAAGAGAGATCGAATAATCAGCCGAGGGGTGGGATCACGCGTGTTCTGCGGTACGGAAAGGAGAGCCGATTATTCGGGACTAAAAAGCTTGCAAGAATGCTTAAGCTACTCGCATATTTCTTCTACTTATTTATTTTTTTTTGTTGATCCCAATGTGTAACTTTCTGAATGTCTTTACCCACTGACCAAATAACTGTGGTCATTCTAAACTGCTTTGTATTATATTAAATGAAATAATTACCTGAATATTATTCAATTGGAAAATCTCAAAAATACTTTGAAAAATACCGAGATATTTTTAGACAGTCATTTAATTTTATTTATTCCATTTAATCCTCTCCTTTTGTTTTTCTCTCAGTAAGATCCTATAAATTTCTAAGTAGTTGCGCCCAGCAATGGTCAGACGGCAGAGTTGGCACATTAGTACGCGTCTACTGACATTCCTTTCGGTCTGTGTCGTTAGTTTCTGTTAGACGGAGTCGTTTTTCTCAATTGGTCAACGTCAAAGGTCTCGCTGGCTTTCTAGGGACGTCTTCTTTTCTTTTCTTTCAACACCCTAACACTATATCCCTCGTTTCGTGAGGTCGTTGGCCCCTCGGCACGAAATCTAAGGGTTGTATACACACCATATATATATCTATATCGTCCACAAAAAAAAAGACGAAAAATATATAGAATGTAGGGTGAGTGAGCTTTTAAAATAAATGCGTCACTGTGATCAATTTCATTTTTTTCCCTTTATGTATCCATGAATAATTTAACTTTTAAACAATATCATAATACTTATCCTTTTTTCTCACGCAGCTGTATATAAATAATTTTATGAATAAAATTTTCAAGTAAAGTTTGAAATTAAAACTCAATACAAACTAGTACAAAGCATCTCTTTGATTTATTGTACTAACGCATTCATGAGGAAACTCAGAGACTTGATGAACACGCAAGTTCCTGCGCTTTACCTAGCATGTAAGCTCTTATTACGCAGCTTTCATCTCTTATCATTCTCATGCAAGTTCTCGGATATCTAGTCTTTCCAATTTCTTCATCCGTTTCTCCAAGTCTGTTTCTGCATTGCTATATACACGATCACATATTCCCATGTGTTTTCTATCATCTTTATAAACGTATCTATAAAAATGTTGAAGACATATATTTATAAATTACATATGGGAATAATACATAGATATTCTTATACCATCCTAGTTTCTTGTCGAACTTTTGCCCTCCAGGCCAAAGCCATTGGTGAACTTCTTTGCCGGCTGTAGGATTTATCTTTTTTTCGTAATGCATTCACTCGTTTCTAAAAGTCTTTCCTTGACCGGAAGAGCTCGTTTCGATCAGCAGTAATATTGAAGAGAAATAAAACACACAAGTATTCTGTGAGCTTCAGTGCGGTTTTACTTATCTCTATCGTTTCTTATTTCAATGAATAGAAAATAGCTTCGATAGAAAGTTTATAAAATCGTATATTTATACAATATGTAGGGAGAATAGCGAATTTTAAAATATTTCTTGAGATAATAATGATGAAAGTTATGCTCTATGAAGCTCTGGGGTTTTTATTTACTTTGTACGATGGTTATTAGGTCAGAATGAAGATAAATATTTAGGTAATGAGAATGAAAATGCTTTGTTTTTAATGGCAACAAAAAAAATCTTCCGTTTTATTTTTTTCATTTATTTAAATCTTTTTTTTGTTTTATTGTTAAAAAAAAGTCTCTTAACATTAATTGTTAAACCATCAATACTAAAATAGTTGGATTAATATTTTTACGTTTTTATGAATCATAATTTTTTTTTAATAGTAATAAATATTTTTATTCCATTGAAGATATCCTAAAAAGTGAATAACACTAAAATTTCTTATTTTCAGTCATCAAATATTACAAGCCATAAAATTGACAAAAAATTGTTTACTTTTCTTGCTGAAAACAATACAAACTATTACTGCAAGATATTAAATAAAGAGAGAGAGAGAGAAAAAAGACGATAAATAAATCGAATTACTTACTTTTCCTATTGAACTACTTTACGCACAAAAAAAATCATTGAAAAACCATAAAGAATAAACAAATGCATACAATTTTCTAATAAATCATTGAAAAAGAAATAGAAATCAATGTAGCGAAAATGAAGTAAAGTTATCTACTCTACAGTATAGTATTTTCACCTTAAAACATTTCAACATCGTTTAGCAGTTAAAGTAGAAGTAGGGTAAACAGATCAATAGATAGACACTTCACCGAAAAATAGAGAACAAACAAAAATTTTTACTCGCTTAAAAGCAACTTGAAATAGAACTAAGTTGAAGAGTTAAAAAAATATTTAACACCAATTAAATCAATTAATTTTTTTTAATTATTCAAAAGTTACTTATTAAACTCTAAAACTACAAATCAAATAAAATTCTTTTTAATTCACCATCACTGCTATAAATCAAATCAATAATTCTTTCTTTAATTCCAGGATCGTATGACGGCGAATGGAAACTCTCCACTGGACAATATGAGAAGTCTGGAGCACTATTTAAGTGACATAATGCGGGCAGGAGTAGCAGACACACCGGAACATCTAAAGGGTGAGTGATATATTACATGGAATGAATAATTATTTCTCCTATCGGTTCAACTTTGGTATGTATTTTTTTTACAAATAGGAGGTCATGTTGAGTAACGTCGCAATAATGTTACTAGAACAAAAAAGCAAACTCTCAAAGATTATGTATAATTTATTATTCACTATCTACTGTAATGATACAGTCCATTATAATAATTCATTCAGTCTCGTCAATTTAATCATATTTTTGTACCTTTTATTTCTCTATCATTTATGCTTCCTCTATATATTTCTCTGAGTATGTAAATTGTTCCAACAAATTCGGGTTCAGAGTCACGCAATTCTTGAAATTACGTTTGTTTCTATTCGAATTGCCCTAGTTCGTAAAGATGAGTCTTCCTCCATTTCTCCTTTCTGTCTCTCATTCACTTGTACCTTTCCGTTTTCCATTTGAGTGCTTCGTCCTATGGACTATTATTCTCCTGACGTTATTGCACCACCTTCTACGTTGTCGTTAATTAATGCTACGAATAAAAAAAAAATGAAAGATAACGTTCAAGCGTACTCTGGTTATATTCACATTTTTCTTTTTAGCTATTTTTTTTCTTCTTTTTTCTATTTCTCTTTCATTTTTTCAGTTCTATCTTTCGAATTATCCAAATGGAGGCGCGTGAGGACAGTGGATTTCACTGCAAAGTTTTGAAATGAAGGCTCCAGGAAATAAGACGAGAAGCTGGAGCTCGATCCGATTAAAAATTAAGAATTGGAACTCATCGTCTGCCAGATCTTCTTGGAAAGCCTCTAATGGATTCACTGTGAATTGATTCTCATATATATCGTGGGTGCTTCTGTGCTCTGTTTCTAATTCTACAGTTCTGTGTAGTATCTTTCATTGATTCTCGATTAGTGTGAAACGCATTTGGTAATGTTGAATATCCTAATAGGTTCTCTCTACTTTGGGGTTGGAATTTGTTGATAGGCAATATCGATTTGGCTTGAGCTTTCCTTTTTCTTTTTTTTAATTATTAATTATATATTGGTGATGAGTTTAATTAATCTAAGTACGGAAATTAATTGTTGAAAAATATATCAAGTTATGATAATGATGGTGGAAATAAAGAAATAAATTAATGAACTTGGAGTTAATTTTTCATTATATACAAAGGCATGGATTAAGAAGATTACCGTATTTTTACTATTTTCTTTTATTAAGTGATTTTTTTATTTACTTACGTAAATTTTTTATTTTACTTAATGAATCAAGCTTTGTAGGAAATTGGAAAATTTTTGTTGCTGTTTTATGCTACTTGCTGGATAATTTAATTAATGGAGAATACATTTAAAAAATTTAAATTTATTTAGAATTTTATATGATTGTATCTAAGATAAATTTTGAATATTAATTCAAATGTAAAATATTAGTAATTCGATGAATTTATTTCCAACTTGACTTCTATATTAACAGTTATTATGTTCAAGTTGGACTTGAATGCTTTTGATAATTTTTCTACTTTTTTTTAGAATGTTAAAATGAATGATATAGTGCTTAATAGATTCATGAAATGTGTTTAAAAAAATTTAAAACCTTTTTAACAAATAATTGAGTAATTTTCAATAGAATTTTTCTGAAATAAATGCATCAATAATGAACAACTTTTGTGAAATGTAAATAAATCCTTTCCTCAGAACACCATTCACTCAAAAAAACAAAAAAATACCTCATTCCCACGAAATTTCCATATCACGAGTTCACTGGCTGATTAAACTTTTACAAGGGAAATTTTATCTCTCACACATCCTTCCATTATTCACCCATCTAATTTTTAATGAATGCTCCCTCATTTTTCGCTATCAAATAACAGTTGATTTTTTTTTCAAATTCAAAGCTTTATTTTCTACACATTCAAATGATATTTAATTCAATAATAATCTAATATAAAATTAATAATCTCCAATGTTAACATACACGAGTAAAACATGTTGCTATAAATCAAAACTTTATCTTACAGAGATGTCAATAGCATCTTTTCGTTTTTTTTCTTTTAAGATATTCTTTTCCTTTTGGGATACTTCGCTTTAGGGAACACTCTTTTTCTTACTCTACATTTTTCTATCCCTCGGCAACTGTCAACCCTCCCGTCCGATATTCGAGCTGTTCGAATTCGATGAACAACATTTCAAATTCTCACAAGTCTTGGTTATATGTCTAGTGTTGTACAAAAGGTATCAGGCTTCCCCGTAAATCATTCTGAGGGTTCGTATGGGTCACACGCAAATATTTTCACGATATGTTGACTAGACAGTTGAAGAAGTCTTTCAAAATATCAATCGTGAATGTCTAAAACAAAGAAACACTGATTGAAATGTCCTTTTTCTTGTTTTGATTATTCTTCTTCTTTTGAAAAATTCCTATTTCTTCTCTGTTTTATTCTATTAAAAAGATTACGAGAAAGTGGATAAAATATATTGCTTCTAACATATCATATTACAAGTATTATTCGTCTTGCCAATCGATAATCTTAAAATCAATCAAATCCAAGGAATCCCTTATGTTAGCATTTTCTTCAATCCCAACAGTTGCTGGAACCATCTATGAAAATGCCTTGAGAATTTTATGGAATTTAGCTTCTTTCCAAACTACACTCGGCACTTTGTATACTGAATCTTTAAAGACGACTTTTCTTTTTCTTCGTAGCTTTGTATGTACACAAACAAGCACTCCAGAATATCCTTAAGATCTGCAGAATTTTTTAAAGATAACAAAACTTGGTCAACATTTTATCAACCTTTCAACTTTTTTCAACCTTTGTTGACATTAAGCTAACATTTTACAAAGAGTTACTAATAATACACTTTTCGTTGAGTGTATAATGGTATAGTATTTATTATGGGGATATATTATTAGCATGCTACCAGTCTTGATGATGTGAAAAATTTGCAGGTAAACTCCTAGAAATCTATTAGAGTAATATCAGAGTTGGAAAATCTTTTCTAAAGACTTCTCATAAAGAGATTTACATATGATTATAGAACGTAATTTCCTAATTATTTAAGGAGTTTCAATAGAAGTTAGTTGGAGGTGTTCTATCAATGATGAACGTAGATAAGTAGTTGTAATGAATGGGGTTCTAAATTAATTACTTGTGCAAAAAGATTGGATTTCAAATTCTACACATTTTTTTTGCATAAACTGAAAATTTTTATCATGATAAAATATTCTAAACACGAATAAAAAAATTTATATTCTAGTGTTTTTATTGAATTTACAAGAATATTACATTTTTTAAGTTCAGCTTTTGACTAGAGTTTTTTCTTTTAGAACCCTGTGAACTTATACAATCAAATTTTAGGATAGAAAAAGAGTAATGTATTTAAAATAATTATTCTAGAACTGACTTTTTATTTGATTATTACATAGGAAACTAAAAATTTCATTGTTTTAATTAAAAAATTACAGTAATTATATTCTCTTCAAAAATGAAAAGTGAAAAACACTGCCAAACATTGTGTACTCACTGATTCAATTGAAGATAATTACCATAATATCTAATTCCTTTTTTCGTATGAGCCAATCTTCTAGAGTATGTTTTATGGATTGAAAATGTATGGAAGGAATATAATATAAATTAACTATTAACAATCATAAATTGTTTGTGTATACATATATGAACATAAATCAGTACTATTACGACGCCATTTCCGTATCTGAGAATCGATAATTGCATTCGGAGATAAGGACTCGTGTTGAAGATGTATCATGAATTTTACATCACAGTCTCCTATCAATTGATTGAATACGTTTACTTTAAACGATCAGGATATCTACAAATTGAATTGAATGTACGGATAACTGTATGATAGATTTAAAACATCATTATAATTTCATTCTATTTCTAAAGTAGTGAATAAAAAAAAAGGGGTGTTCATTTTTAATTATTTTTTCTGAAAACTTTAAAGTAATTAACTGATTGGAAACTATTTACATTGATAAACAATCAGTAGAATACAGAAAAAATTTCAAAAACGATTTTTTAAAAAAATTAATACACTTTTATTGACGAATTCTTTTTCAATTGAGCAAAGGATTCAAATTATTTGTACTGATGACCTAGTTTATTTTAATCAGAAAAAAATCGCTTCATTTCAAAATAGAACTGTATTTTGGATAAAATAATAATATTTCATTTTATTAAAAGAACAAAGTAACAATTATTATCGAAAAAATGAAAAACAGGTTATTTTTATAAATTAAAATGTTTAATTCTAATTCCTTTATCAAAAAAAAAATTAAATATTAAATTTTTCATCACAATATATTAATATAAAATATGTTCATACAATTCATACAAAAGTAATTAAATGATTATTAAAAATTTAAATTGAAAATTGCAATCTATAGCCTATCTTTAATTGACTCGTAACGCGAAAATGATTTATTGTTACGTCATTTCTGATGGCTTATTCAACAAAACCACTGCGTATATATCTGTATACATGAGTCCATATGAAGCAAACATAAATGCGATTTTCTTAACGAGGATTTATCAATAAATCGTGAATTTAATGGCCTTAAAAACTGTACGGACATTATTGATCAGGGTTTATAAGGTAAATGTTAGTAGCAGGTAAATAGAATATATCCTATGTATTAAATATTTTCAATGATACTTAAATTCTTTTATTGTTCTGTTCTAATATAGCCTGCACACATCTTCTCATATCTCCACTTATTAAATAACCATTTTCAACTTACTTTAATTGCTAAATTGAATTTAAAAAATATTAAAAACTAACTAGATTATCTAGTATAGCGATAATGACATAATATAACTTGAATTAAATTTGCTATACCTCTATTTTAAACTTAATTCCATTCGTTCTAATACTTGGAGGAAGTTTGTTTTACTTTCCTTTATTGGAAAAACTTATTTATAAATTTAGCAAGTTATAAAAATTACTAGATATATTTTTTAACGACGTCATGAAAAGTCTGTTTCTTGAAAAATAAAAAGCACTTGAAGA